TGAGAAAAAAACAACTAACCTCGTACTTGGCACAAAGCTGGGGTCCGGTTAAGATTGCTTTCAATGCAAGGGCACACATATGAGTGAGACAAGTTGGTCAGTAGGAATGCTTGTCTGAAAGGTTTACCTCAAGTTTCCATTTTAGGAACATACTTTGACATAAAAGTTATAAATGAGATAGTTCCCTTTGTCTCATCCTTCTGTTATTCAAATGATATCTTGAGGAGTTTGAAAAGGTATAACTCCCTTCTCCCTTTGCCAAGTTTTATCATGAAGAGAAAGCACATTCGGTGACATTATTTCCTGCTTTTAATGGAACTGAAGTAATAAGCACCCATGAAGAACAGAAATAATACATTTAAAACTCCATAGTACTAAGACAACTGAGCAAGAATATGTGGATAGCACTACCTTGGTTATGTAAAAGTGACACAAATATAAGTAGGCACAGTCAACTTATATGTGAACTACAAGTCATTTGGTAAGTGAAAATGACAACACATTTTGCTAAAATAGGATTCCGACTTTAAGGTTACAGAATGGCATTTCATTTTGCCCTTGCTAGAGTTTTCTAACAATAGTTTTTCAGTTCAGTTTGAAAATTAATCATCCAAGATGCATTTTCTGCAATAACATATGACTGCTTTTTAAATTAACAACATATGTATAGTAGGGAATGTTCTCGTTTGTAGATACTGTTATGTTTTCATTACAAGCGTATATTTTTTATCTCATGTGGCATGATATCACAGAAGTCAAGTACACCAAACATTTCTATTATTCTTCTCTCTTTTAAGAAGAACGTGGTTACAGATAGGTCAAGTGTTTTGTTCACAGTCATTCTGTTTCAAATAGAATGGAGATTGTATTCAAAGTCTGTCTATATCACTTCAAAACCTGTTGTGATAAAGATAACTCTGAAACCAGGGAAAGGAAAACTTTGCCTCTGCTCAAATTTTATTACTTTCTTCTAGACATCACATCATAAAACAAACATCCTTATCATCCTTATCGACTTAGAGGAAAAGAGATTTAAATAAACTTTGTTTAGACATATTCATATACAGTCCTGTATGTGTCTCTATTTTTTGTCGAAAAATAATACCGAGTTTAATTGACCTGTTCATTTTTGTAGGAAAAAAGTTATCTATCTCAGATGGGATAAATGTGTATCAGCATAGCATATCTTGGAAATGAACCTGTATAAGATTTTAGTAACACTTTGGGGATTTAAGAATTATATTTTGAATTCTGTCATGGTTCAACCTCACATCAAAAGAATTTTCTTCTGAGGAAATTACGGGACCACAGGTTTTCATTGCCCAAGACATTCTTTCTCCTCTGTCACAGGGAGACTTCAAATCCAGAAATTGATTTCATGACTTCAGAAGGTTGATATATATGAATTTTAAAGACCCAGCAATGCAGACAGCAAGCGCACTTAGCGCGCTTTTAAATTAAAATTTAAAAGACAAGAAAAGAATGCTATACAATTCAGTATGCATTGTATAGCATTCTTTTCTTGTCTTTTAAATTTTAATTTTTCCTGAAATTCAGTCCTTGATGCACTTCCATTTTTTTAAACTAAGATGAGCTTATTATTATTTGTATGACTTTGACTTCTGCTAATATTAGATAACTCAAATACACATCATTTCCTAGGATTTCTTTGAGTACTTCAAAGGCAAACTCAACTACACTGACTCATTTCCCTCCCTGTCTCATCTGCCTTCATTTTTCTGGAATCCTCAACTCCTCAGGCACTCAATTTATAAACCTAAAGTTCTTCCATTCCTACTTCCTTCTCTCGTATCATCAACACCTGCAGACTTTATCTCCCATATGTTTATTTAATCCAGCCTCCTGCCCCCATCATCATACTCATCAGAACCTTAGTTTAAGCATTTATGACCACATATCTCTAAACTGAACTCTTTCCTCCCAGGTAGGTTTTCTCTTAAATACATACCCGGTGGGTTTTCTCTTAAATACATACCTGCTAGAGTAACGTACAAACTGCATTTCTCCTTATTGGTTTAAAGCTCTTTGGCAGTGGCCCTGCTTTTCTTTACAATACAAGCCTCTTCTTTTGCTATTCTCCTCCATGTTGCACTTGAACATATACATATTCCTCCATTTAAAAAGTATATTCTAAATAAAACTGAACAAAGTGATTGCGAAGATGAAGAAATATAACTTGAGTTATTCTAATTCTGTCCTTCTGTCTGACACATGGAGCTTTTAATACCTAGGCAGGTTTTACCTCATGTTATTGTTCTTCAAGATCTATTTGAATGGATTACAAATCTCTGTTTTTTATTTTTCCTTCTAAGGGTAAGCAGAGGATGATATGGGAAGGCTCCAGCCTTGGAGCCAAAGAAGGCTTCTCAGAAGAGGGAACACCTGGTTATATTGTTTTAGCAAAGCAAATGAATTTCCATATAATATTTTATTGGTTCTGTAACACTTTTCACATATAGGGTCTTATTTAATCTTCACCAAAACTTTTTGGAGTAGGAATGTGTATCTTTATTTTACTGTGAAAAAACTAGGCTCAGTTGTCTGAAGTCACACAGTCAGTAGATAGCTAAGGCAGAGCTTAGAATCAGATCAACATTTTTTTAAAAACTAGGTGAGAAAATTGCAAGTCAATAACTAGCTCAAGGTCAATTGTGGCTGGGGAAGATTTGATTCGATCTTCTGATTTCTTGTTCAATCCTTTCTAATTCTACCACCCCACCCCCAATTTATCACATCTCCTCCAGCAACAAAGGACACCTTACATTTACTCTGTATAGTTGATTTAAGATATATCACTACCTAATTCAGGTAAACATTTGGAGATCAAAACTAATTTATGACAGTTTTAAAATAAATGAATGTTTATCAAGCACTGTAATTGCAAGTGTTGGAACTATAATATCTGCTATGAACAACCAAGCTACATAATCAAGGCATTCTCTAACCTATTTAAGCTTTTCTAATTTTAATTTTTGCAATGAGAAATGTTGAAACATCATTTTTACCAGTTTCCTGGAAGTTAAACTTCCTATTTTCACTTTTATTTTAATGTGCTAACTTGGTTTCATTTAAATGCCGTTTCTCATTGAAAAATCCAGTTAGACTAGCACTATAGAGAATATTGATATGTGCTATTTTACTTCTTCATTGCTGGGGACATTCATACACTTCCTTTACGCTTTTCTGATATTCTTCTATAAACTCCTGAAATAAACCACGCATATGGTTGTTGATTGTGACATTTATTCCACAGGGTCAGATCGAAAAACCTAAGAAATCACCATCACATTAAAAGAGCCTTATATCTCATCAGATCAAATCATACACATTTGCTTCACATGCTCCTGACTTCAAAACTGAAATCTTAAGTAAAACCAAACCAATAGTCACCCACCAAATGCTTGTTAAATGAACATTTTTATGTGAGTAAAACTATACTATGCATGTACCTACAAATTTTTACATACACATATGACATATATAACATAAAACATATAAAACACTATTATATGTGAATAAGATATATATATTTGATCAAGATAACATATAAATAATCAAGATATGCCCGTATAATCAAGATATATAATTCTTAGATTTTTGATCACAGGTAGTGGATGCTTAGTGTTTTTCATCGGCCTGCTCAGTGTTCATTATCCTACTTCTGGAAATAAAACATGATTTGGAGGGAGAGGGGAGAGAAAAAATTTTCCTTTTCAATTCTTGTGATTTAAATGGGGCAGGACCCACTGCCAAGTTTCATGAGGAGAGGTATGCTGCAAATTTGACCAGTGATTCTATCTTTTGACAAAAAGACTCGTATGAGTGCAGAAAAGAAGTTATTATGAGTACTGAAAAAATGCGTATGAACCCATACCACAAAAGATCATATCAAATATGCCATTTGAAGATTTTTCAGATAACATTTGAAATTCCACTTCACTCTATTTCTGTGGCTTCTATGGAATTTGAAAGTAATGCTAGCTGCCAAGTCATTTCATTTTCCTTTCACTAGTAGCAACTGTATGCAACTTTGCTCTATGTCAGAGCTTAAATTCATTTACTTTAAATGATCCCCAAATTTAGTTCCCAAAGTTTGTACTGCCCTAAAGTTTAGCTGCTGCTCTTGATCTGCAGTTCAGACTATAAAGCCTAAATGTTGAGATTTCTGGGAATTGAATACAACTATGTTTTTTTTTCTTTTGCAATTAGTTTTGCAGTTAGCCTGTGGATGACCTGCTTATTGTTGAAAAGACAGTTCTGAACAAAAGTACTAGAACATTTTTGCATCTTTATTTCAGCATATATATCAATAAAGATATAAAAATGTTCTAGTAAAAAATGTTCATATAATTAAGTAGATGGAGATGGATGAAAGGGATACATTTATAACAATGATATTTACTATTTCAAACCCTTGAATTATATGTTAAGAATCACAAAGTGTCCTATCAGAATTTTTTGAGTTACCTATCAGTTATGACTCAATTAGATTTCTCTTCTAATTTTGCTAAAAGGCACATCACATCTTCTTGATCAAAGTCCTAAATGACTTCTCATGTTCTTACTATGTCTGGAACAGTCATATAAGACCTGGCTTTCTATGGTCTCTTTGGCCTCACTTCCTACCAATCCCCCCTCACTCACTAAGCTTTAGTCATCATAAATTCCATGAATTTTTTCTTTTTTCCTTAAACACTTTAGAAACTGCTGCCACTTTAATAGCTTTTACACTGCTTGCTTCCTGGGTCTGGAATGCTTTAACCTAAAGTTCAAATATCACCTTTTCAATGAGTATCCTTTCAATGACTAATAATTATCCCCTTTATTGTTGCAACCCAGCATCCAAACCTTGACACTCCTCACCCTCTTATGCTGCTCCTCAATTAAAAATATTTACTATTTACCTATTTATTATTTTATTATTTGTTTTTGTCTATTTTCTTAATAGAATATAAGTTCAATGAAAGCCGGTAACTTACCCAAGGTTACATGGATGGCAGTAGAGACCAGGATTGCAAGTCAGGCAGCTTGATTCTGGGGTCAGTACTCTTAACCACTGCATCCCAAGCCAAGCTTGACCCTGTCACCTCTCAGCATGTCCCTTCGCTGCCCGACACAACCACTTATTTGCATTGTTCTTCTTTAGGCTCCTTGACTGTCACATAGTGTAATCCTCATTGATTTCTTTCTCTCTCTTCCTCTATTAAAGGGAAGTAAGTCCCTTGAGGACTCTTAGCTTCTAGCATCATGTCTGGCAGTTGAAATTGCAAAGCACTGTTAACGTTTTTTGTTTTTGAAAAAATAATCTGACTCACCAGTAGTGAAAAATATATCATCTATGGAAGGAGATAATTTGTGCTGGTCAGAACAGGGGAGCAGAGTATTCAAAGGGATATTTTTCATTTCTTTTGTAGAAGAGCTGTGAATTTCACTTTGTAACACTTTGCATGACTGGGTAAGTCATCTTTCTTCTCTGCCAGCCCAGTCCATTTAGGAAAATGAATTAATCCAGCACAGTTGATAGGAACTTGTATGTTAAGAGGACTAAACTTTATCAATAAATAAAGAAATGAAAATAAACTTATCAGTAAATAAAGAAATGAAACTCTCATTCTTTGATTTTCTCTTCCTCTACTTGGCTGAGATTGGAGACAAGGAAGAACTAAGAAAACTGCTACAGAAATTTATATATCTGGGGAAAATTTATCTAACAAGCTACAATAACAGTTCTGGTTGTATATTTGAGTCTCAAGTTTAATTTACTTTTTGGAAATGCTGTGGTTTCTTTTCAGAAAAAAAGTATATTTGATAAATGCTGTTTCCTGGGGCTAAATTGTACCTGGGGACTTAAAGTAGATCAAGCTTTGATCACTTTCTTATAATGTATGCAAGGCGAGCTTGGGCACGTATACATACACGCACCTCTCAAAACACAAGAGACAGAGCTCAAAACTAGAAGGAAAGCTTAATTCTAATTGCTGCTCTGCAGAGAACCCCCATCTAAGATCAATGACTTACCTGGCAAGCGATGTTTAAGGTTTTTAAGGTACAGGAACGAAGGTGGCATTTTGCCAGGCACTTCCTAGACATAGAGGAAATAGGAACTTGTAAATAATACATCTGTAGATTTTGTTAGTTTGTTTGTGCTCTGACATAAAGTTGGTGTGATCTAAAGAAAGAGAATTTGTCTTTTTCTAGTATGATCACAGAGTGACATATTCTGATGTTGATCCGTGAGATGCTTTGTTCTGTAGGAGAACACCATGGTTTACCTTGAGTGAAAGGTCATCTCCTAGAGAAAGCAGAGGCTGATTTTTTTTTTCTCGTTCTCAGTCTTGCAATCAGACAATATGGTTTCAGGCAGTAGCTTATAAATATATAGTTATGGATATAGCTATAGCTCTTTTGTTTTTAATAATGTAATAAAATCAGCTCTTCTTATTTTTCTTCTTATTTCTTCTGATAAATGCTTAAACCATTTATTTATAACATTAACACTTAGAAAATAATTTATTTAGCAAACTGATTTCAAATAGAACATTAACATGTCTCAATTAACTTTATTGGGAAATACAAGTTCAAGAATATAAAAATGAAGGAAAACTAAATTGAAGCAGGAATTGAGAGAGAGAGAAATGTGAGGAAGCCTGGAAACCACTTGGACCGACCATTAATGATGGCTCAGCCTCATGGGATTGTCTTCTGATAAACCACACTACATACTTGGTTGGTAGTAATGACTGCTCAGTAAATGTTCACTTACTGTTCCCCATAATAGCTCTTAAAGAGTATATCACAATTTGGATGATTTTTTTTGTTCTAATTTAACAACTTCTTACACACAACCTTATAAACAAATACTATAAGAATTAAAATTTTGACATTATGGTTTCAGGCAGTAACACATTTGGAAATGTGCTTGATATAGCAGTTGCTAGTCTGAGAATATCAATAGAAAATAAATTTGAATTATTGGGTACTATATTTGAATAAGATTAAAATATTTTACTTCATATTTATATGCCAACTGAACAGAATGAATAGGTAGCCTCTTGTAGACCTGTCATATACCTGTACTATTTCCACATGTTTTGCAGTATCCTGTAATTAGTCTATTTTGGCCTAAAAGTAGTGTCTCTGTATAGCTTTATTTATTAAGCATAGGTTAAGTGCAGACCGAGCTCCAATAAGGTTGAAATTTGGTATAGGAAACAATGCAGGAAAAAATGTGCTTTCCAAAGAACGACTTCCTCATGCATCTTCCACTAACGACCACTGTCAAGTCTTCTCTTCCTCCTTGGTAAGTAAAACAAAACTTCATTACATTGCACTATATGTAAAACTCTATTCATTTCCCATTTGTTGTTGTTATTTGTAGAATTTTTATTTGTTATTTTTAATTGCTACATATTTATCTTAAAAAATATGGTAACGGCTTGAATTGCAATGCATCATTTTGTCAATTATAATTAATAGAAAATGTTTCTGTTTAAGAGATGTTTTACTTATTGCCATTGTTTTCATGAGCGAATTATGGTTTTAAGCAGGGCATATGTATATTGTATTTCAGGTCAGTCTATTCAATAAAAAATGCATAAATAAAAGGATACATCCACTGGATTTTGTTTCCTATTGGTAAAACGTTCACCCATGAACATTGGCTGCTCTTTTTTTCCAAGTTGTTCATCCACAGAGTTGGACCTTCTCATGTTTCTCAGCAGCTGGGAGGCAAAGGAGCAACACAAGTTGAGAGGTGTGAGCTGATCAACTGGCTTTCCAAATAAAAGAAGAACAAAAGGAAGGATATAAGGGTGAGAGAGGGAAAGAAGGAAGGGATAGAAAGGAAAAGAGAAGAAAAAGCCCTGAAATATAGCATTGGTTGTATTTGCCTTAAATATGTTATAGAAATTCTCCTACCCAAGCCACTTTTAAGCTACCGATAATTTAACAACTGGCTCTGAATGTTTCTGAATATTTAACTATCAGGAGCCAGGAGCCAGTTCAACAAAAGATTAGGTGTGAAACATAGCATGAGATGAAGCACCTTTTTTTACACTGTGTTCATGTAAAAACAGTTTTCATAGAGGCTTGGCTAAAACAAGTGGCTCATAGCCTTAGAGAAAGACGTATCCTACAGGATCTAAATTGGTATCTAAGAAGTATGGGATATAGGCCTTGATCATCTCACATTTATGTTTTAACTTTTGCTTTTTTTGGTCTTGGCTTCCATCTACCACTTCTAAATAATATAGCTTATAAAAATGTCCAATGAGAATTTACAAAACATCATTTTCATCTTGATACTATTTTGTTCAAACTATTCGGTAGTACTATGTTTCAGTGCTAACTGAATGTACTGAAATTCAGTTCTGACACTGACCACCCAGAGTTAGCATAGATCTCACTAGTTAAGGATTCAGTCCTCCACGAAACTTCCCTCTCTTCAGATGCCAGCTGCATGTGGGTCCCCAGGGCACCTGTACTACTTGACAGACTGACTATAAATTCAGAGATTTCTGCAATCCCTTTAGGTTGAGTAATTTGCTAGAATAACTCCCAGAACTCAAGAAAATGCTATATTTAATGGTTGCACTTCTATAAAGGGTAGAAGTCAAGAGAATCAGACTAATGAAGACAAATGAAGAGGTGCATAGACAAGGACTGGGAGGGGATGCAGAATCCTTCTGGCATCATTACCACTCTGATCTAGATCCTGTGATCGTGTTACACCCACCTGTATAATCTAGGATGATCCCCTTATTTTAAGGTTATCTGATTAGCAAACTTAATTCTACCCACAACCTAATTTCCCCTTGCAACATAATGTAACATATTCACAGGTTCTGGGAATTATGAGGTGGATGTCATTTGGGAGGTCATTATTCTGCCTACCATGCTCCTCAAATGACTGTAGTCTGTAGTAAGTTTTTTTTTCCTAGAAAAACTAGATTTATGGTCAGTTATGCTACACCTTCAGTGCAAACAAAAATAAGGGCAAAATTTATCTCATCAATTCCCTGTCACTCCTCGTCGTACTACCAACTTCTGACTTATTTTGCAACCTCTCTGTCTCAGGGTGGCTAGTTCTGGGGCAGCTCTATTTTCAGCCTTCTTCTGAGAGAAACTGCCTCATCATATCCCCTGAATATATAAGAAGAATTATAGATGTTTCTTATGCTGGTTTACTACAGCTGCCTGGTATAGTGGTGAACATCTGACAGATCAGTTTAAATGATTATTGATTTAAGAAACTCTAATTGCTTCCAAATATCTATTGTCCATATCCTGACTTAATCACAAAACTCTAATATTAGCTGTGAATGTTGACACAAATCCCAGGTCTCTACATGTACGTGTGGCCATTGACTGGTTTTTAGACGATGAGATGGAAGAATCAGTGTTGTGTGAAATTTCTGTTGGTTTTGACTAAAAGGAGTCCCCTTCAACTCTCTTCTTCCTGCTTTGTGGAATAAAATGCAATGACTAGCACCCCATCAGATATCTTGGACCATCTTGTGACTTCAGGAAAGCAATATAAAAATAATACTGGTACCATGATATGCTGCAGCTGACATAGCCGATCTGGAGAGCCGCCCTACCCAGTGGTATGCTGGTAAATATTTAACTACCAGTTCCCTGAGTAAAAGTGCCCTGATTTGTAGTTTTCTTAGTTTCTGTAAGGTAAGTACAGCTGATTTCGCTGATTTCAAGATATCACCATGACATATGACGTTACTGACTGTGGAATTGGGAAGAGATGCACACAATTGGCTCTTGTAAACCAGTTCCACAAAGCTTTCATGCAGGGGACACGTCTATCTTGTCTAAGCCATTATTTTGGGGTTCTTTCCTATTCATGGAAAAAAAGACAGTGATATTTCTGGCTGGTGGCCTAGGAAACTATAGTGACAGCTGAGATGATAAAGACCAAATGAAGTCATTTAGATTCCTTCCTTATGGACTTAAAACTGAAGGCATGGAGAGAGGGATTATTAGCTTTTAGTTGGAATATTAATAAAGCGATGTGCCAAAAAACAAACAGTGACAGAGTCACTGTGTCCTATTGATACAGAGACCCATAATGAATGTCAGCAAACTCTTGCCGCTGCAGGTACCTTAAGACACCCTGGTCCCTAGCAGAGCCTTAGATTATGAATGGACTTTGATCTCTGTCAGAGTCTCATAGTTCTTACTTCTTTTGGTTCCATTATTTCCTATTGTTTTTTTCTATTTCATTGGTTCCCAATCTAGTGTTCATTATCT